TTTTTTCATCATGGTCGTTATGTTCATATCGTTCATGGATAGATATTTTATTTGCTTTTGAATCATCAAATGATGCTTGACAGACATGTCAAAATTATTTATTCGCGTTTATGTTCTCTGTTTCATTTTGTTTTAATATTCAAAATTGAAGGACATATTTAAAATTAGTCTAACTACTTGTCATGTTTTTGTTGATTTAAGTAATTTCACAAAAAGGGTACTGTATCACTACAGGTAGGTACGTATAAGTACTGACAATACTGTACATAATATGTATTCATGTTATAAAATATAATAAAACAAATGAAAGAAAGTATTTAGATGATGAAATTTATCCTTTATTATTAAAATACTTGATTGATAATTGATTAATAATAAAACCATGAAAACTAGATATTTATCTATAATATATATATATAATATATATATACATATATACCTAGTCTTCATGATTAAAACAATAAAACAATGAGCTTATTGATAATAAATTATATCCATATTAGAAATACATCAAAAATTTGAATTGGACCGATAAGGACACGACATTAAAAAGATGCGCAGTGGCGTTCTGGGTAACTTAATACACAGCAGGGTCGAGGAAAGAATAAAAAAAGAAAAGAAAACCTCTTCAAATGAAGACATTGGCAACACAAAGCCTAATAATTTGCTTGGATATATTAACGTGAAGCATCAGAATTTTCAAAAAAATTTAAATGAGAAATATTTCATCCATGTTATGAATAACAAATAAATCGCTATATTGATCCTTCTATTCTCGCACACGCTAAAGAAAAATAGAAATATTTAAAAATAAATAAATCGAAACGATATTCAAGTAAGAGTAAATAGAAACTATTAAACCTACAACAGACCTTAGTATTAAGTTGGTTAATGTCATTTTATAATTAAAATAAATTGTACCTAAATAAAAACTTCTACATTTAAATAATATTCCGCGGCACACGGATTAACAAACCGTAATGGAAACAATGATGAGACAGCTAATCTATGTACAATGTTATTTGTCATATTCTATTTCGGTTTGTTAAATCATTACATTCGTACAAATTACATTTTTTATGATTACTGCCAAGAGTATATGAGTATTAATATTAATAACAAATAAATTAAAAAACTAAGACTTTTTAAACGAACTTCTTTTATGGCAATTGACAAGTATTTATAAATATTATTTATTGTTTTAAGACACAATTTTTAATATTTAATTCATATTTCAAATAACAATACATTGTTATATCCTAATATGAGCTATAGCCTAATAGTTTTAGGAAAAATCGTTTTAAACTTAAATGAGAGGGTATATTAACTATTACAACCTAACAGATCATAGTATTCCATCGGTTAATGTGTTAAAATAAATTTTTGTAAATAAAAAACATTTAAATTTAAATAATATTTTTTGGCGCCCTACTGTGATGGGAGCAATGATGAGATAGATAATCTATGTCTAATATTACTTGTCTTATTCTATTCACGTTTGTTAATAATTTTCATTCTTACAAATTATGTTTTTTATAATTCTTGCCCATTATATATATTAATACTAATAAAATAAAAAAATTAATTATTATTTCTTTTTCTTTTTATTAGAGTAAACAGCCGAAATTTAGGAGCCGATTAAAAGTGAAATAAACTTACTAGTGACAATTACTTATCTACTTACTCCCAGGAATAACGGTACGTCATTTTTATTTTGAATAACAACTTTAATTATAACAAAATTGATCAAATTTATGTTTTTAAGCTTCGACTTAATTTTTTTATATTTAATCCATTAAATAACCTTATTTTACTTAAAATAATTAAGTATCCTTTGTTATGTAAATAATATTTTCCATTACTTAAATACATTTTTTTCTTTTCTTTATTTAGTTAAATTATTAATATTCTAAATTTATAAATTAAATTTAAATTTATTTGAATTGGTATTTATTTTTTATTATTAAATATATTTTTTTGTTTCACCTGCATGAGTAATCTTTAGATCCCTTTTTATTTTTTCTTTTGTTATTAAAGTATTCGTTTTTATTAACAATTTAAATATAATGTTGTTAATACATTTATTTATGTTTTTTCAGTACATAAATAATGTTTAAAATTATGACATAATTTATATATTTCCCGGTCATCAGGCACAAGGAAACTTTTTTTACTTACTTCTTTTATCGCGATTGAGAAGTACCTATTTATAAATATTATTTATTGTTATAAGATATAATTTTATGTCACATATCGATTCACATGAGAAATTTGCAAGAAATCTCTTACGAGTATTAATTTTTAGATTCAAAATAATATTCTAAAGATAATTAGATAAAACCCAGGTTTTGAAGATAGAAAAAAAATGTCAAAAGATTCTTCATTTGGCCATTTCAGAGCGTACGCGTATACTAGTTTCCTCAACCATTTCAGAAACATACTTTACATTATATATTATTTTATTATACATGGTTGAACAAATAAAAAAGAAATGTTCAAATAGTATTGCGATAACATATCATATTAAACTGCTGTTTTATCTTCGTGTTAAATCTGCCCGGATTTCAAATCCTGAAATTTAAAATACATTTGTTAATTGAGGATCTGAGTGCCGGTCAAGTTCCAGTAATGCCGGTTTATCTTTACCATTCACCGTTATATCTCTGCTAACTTTGAAGATGAACTTATGCAATTTTAAACACATATTTAGATCGAAGTAAATGATATCTAAATTGTGGCCAAGTTAAAGATTTGTCAAGTATAAAGTAACAAAAATAAAAGAGCAATGGTACTTATGAAGTTAGGAGTGAAGTAAGGTAGTGGATTCTTTTGGAAAAGCATCTGGAACTTGTTAATTTTTCACCAATAGGTTTTTTTTTTTTATATGAATACGCTATTTAGCTATTCGATAAAACTTACCCCTAATTCAATGTTTAAAGATTTGAAGAGTATTTCAATTTCAAACTGTATGTTTAACTTTAAACCAGGTTGTTTGTGAAGTTCTGCAAGACTTCTTAATAAGTTTAATGTCCATAAGCTTTTCGGTTCAAACACCTGTTAGTTTATAAGAAAAAAGAAAAGAAATATTAGAAGTTAGAAAAAAACAGTTTTAACAGTTATTAAAAAAAAAAAAAAAAATGTTTTAGTCAATCAATACTTTGGTAACTAAATTATAAATCTATAAATTTATAACCTCCAATGGAAAAACTAAAGAAATACTGAAATCGAGATTTAAACTATTTACAAAATAAAAAAAATCTTACTAAAAGTGTGTTACTACTGAATTACATTTTTTAAATCAATCGTTTTTTCTCGTTAAAATAAAATTATACTATTATTGCTTAGGCTTATTGTAAATAACATTTTACCGATATCTAACAATGTATATATACATGCATAAACATACTTTGCTTTTGGCACAAGCCACAAGTATCTTGGCGATGAACGGAACAATACACGTAAGTCTTTCGATTCCTTTATAGACCGCTTTCGTTAACAATGAGTTTAGATAGCCATCGTAAAACGGTAAGGGTATATTTTTCGCCAACGTTATAATGCCTAACCAGTGACCGAAATTTTTTAACAGAGCCCTGCTGTTCGTCGTGTTGCTGTCCAATAGCATCTAAAAAGATAAAACGTAATATTATGTGAACTTTTAATTTTGATTATTATTTATAATATATTAAAAGAAGATAAAAGAGTTCTACTGACTTGAATATTTTCTATGGTTCTAGACATTACAAGGGCGTTTAGCTTCTCGTTGTTCATTCTATCTAAAAAGTCTGAATACAAAGCATGTAAATTGAATTCAAAACGAACACGTTGCTCGATCAAATACTCGGAGAGCCATGGAACGTGTTCTTCTTTTAAAATGTTCTTGATTTCGTCGCACTGAAATACGAGCACAACAATCGATCAACAATAATGTATGTACTTAGGTAGGTGCAATACGCGTGCAACGAAAATCGTCCGTCCGTGGCCGAACTATATGCCGGGCATGAAAAATAATCCGATTCGAACGAGTTTCGCTGTACGCGTGATGATGGTCGTTAAAAGTGACGAATCGTAATACCTTCTCACGTAGATTTTTCGCGTTCAGATTGTTCACGATGAACACTATTTTATCTTTGTCGGTCAAGCTCTCCCCAATTCCTTCGAAGTCGAATTCTTCTAGGTCGACCGACTGCGTCTTTACGGCCGATAACCCTGTGGGTGAGCACAACACGACGGATGACTGTTGGGCACCCGTAGGACCGTCATATGCGCGTTCCGGTGTGTGCTTCCCGTGGTCCTCAATCCACTGCAAACAGTTTTCATAAAACGTACAACGTAATTAACGTTCCGAAATCGCAGACATGTAAGACCTGTGACGAACACTATGTACGCAGCGAATAGCGTTGATGATTTGTCATCGGATTTCAACGCAAACTATTACCTCGATTATATGTCGGGGAAAGCTTTTTAAGTGTGGTATGGCGGCTACACTTTGGAAATACTCTTCGCAATCCCCCCACAAGCGTTCATAGAATCGGTTTAACGCCGTTACACCGAAATCGAACATTCTTGAGTCGGGTTTGTTTTTCAGCGTGTCCATGACCAGTTGTAAAGTATTTTTCAAAGTTTCAGGATCGCTAACGGACAAACGTTTTACACAATTTTAATACACGAAGATTTTGTTGGCATCTCGAGCAGATTGAATACAAAAGGTTAGAAAATATCTATCAAATACTACTTACGAAATAAGCTCATATTCAATGAGACCGCCGTAAATATTGGCTAACTTCATAAGGACATCGTACGAATATCCGGGAAAATGTGTCTGTTCGTCGAGCAACTTGAATATTATGCATGAAAACACTTCCTGTAGAATCAATAACATTTTCGATTGTTTCAAACCAACAATTGTACGATTTATTGAAGTACCAATAACTACTTATAGTTATATATTTATTTTAAAATCTATTTATTAACAATTTACTTTAAACATGAATTAGCAGTGGCAGTTCTCCTTCTCAGAAAAAATGTCGAACATTTTAGCAAGTTTGTTTAAAACAAGTTTTTTGGATTTTTAATTGAGAATTATTATCCTCAAAGCCATAAAATAAGTTAATCACATTTTCCAATATATATTATAAATTATGTTTTTGTGAAATTAATTATTTTAATTTTACTAAAAATATAATAGTTTTATATAACATCGGTGTTATTTAAAACAAAAAACAGTTTTGTTATATGATAACTTGAATGCTATTTAAAATAGAAATACATACAAATTTTATAAATAAACTACCAACTATACAATAAGTACCTTATTTCTTCGAATCGATGAATCATTTAAATCTTTCAAAATCTTCAAAAATTCGTCGGATGATAGACAATTGTACGACAAACTAATGACTTTTTTCACTAAGTAATGCGCCTCTTCTCGTATATACTTTAGTGCCATTGTATAAAAATTTCTCGTTCAACTATCGATATATTTATAAACTTGAAAACTCTTATTTCAAACAAATTCAAAAAAAACAATTTCAAACAAAAATCAAAAATTAACAAGTATATAAATACCGTTCAAAAATAATGAAAATCGATAAATAATATACTTAACTTATTGGAAAATAAAATGTTGAAGTAAACCAAAAAGAAGTGACTTAAAATTCGTTTAAAGAATCTGAAATCAAAATATAATTATTTTACACTTATTTATAACCCATAAATAGAAATATGCTTGGCAATAATTGGCAAATTAGACGTTTACAGTCACAGTAATACTGTGCTTCTGTTAAAATGTCTTTATTTATAAATCACTAAAGCATTACATATTATTTGGTGTTTGGATAAGTTGGAAAGTACATTTACAAATTATTGTTTATATTAGGAAGCTAGATATAAGGATGAAGGAAATGAAAGATAGTTTGCCAAAAGAAGATCAAGAGTTAAGGAGATAACTGCTATCAGTTAACCACCTACTCTTATAATTAATAATCCAATTTACATTTTATCAATTTTAAATTTTCATTAAAAATATTTGTTTACAATCTGTCCATCCTATAGAATATCATTCTAAGAATATTTTATAAAATTGTATGTAAATATAAATAAAAGCGGAGAAACAGTTCACCAAGAACATTTTGATATTTAATTTAATTATGATGTCATTAGCTATTTGGTTTTTTTTTTTTTATAAATATTATTAATTTTATAAAAATATATGGTAAGTCTGTAGACTAATTAGTTATAGACAAAGTTTGAGACATTGCTGGGACAGGAAACGAAGAACGTATCATTGATTAATGGATTTTATTGGCTTGGTAATTTAACGTAGAATCTTTTATAATGGGTTAGTGATTTATGATTTACTTTTAATCACTTTTCTAAATCATGACTTCTATGAAGTACTATTCTATTATAGAAGGTATACCTGAAGAATATACCAAAGCACATATTCCAAGTATAATATATTTAATTATTTAAATACTTACCTTCTCAGTTGACTTCCAGAAAGGAAAATATGAGAACAGATTTCACTACGTCCAGCGGATGATGCAATGTATATTCTGCTACAACTTTCTTTTATTGAATATTAGGAACAAAAGTATGATGTAATGGTGCAACTAAATGCCAAAAATTAAATCGTATTTATGCAACTTTTAACAATCAAATCAATAACCATACATTTTTATGTTTATTCTATATTATCCTTGGCAACCTTGTAATTTATTAAAATATTATAAAAAAAAAAAAAATTATTAAAGCCATCTGCATGAGAATTTTGTAGCATTTTAATATATTACAAATAATTATATATATTATACTAATAAAATTAATATAAATATAAGAATATATTTCAATAGAATCTAACATCGTGTGGAAAGTGTTTTAAACAAATGCACATGATACATTTTGTGGTTCCCGATATATTTTTTTTTAGGATCTTCATTATTCTCGCGATAGCAGTCGTCCGCTTCGCCCGCGTTCCATGCGCTCTCGTAAATTTATTAGCTCGTTAATTAATTTTAATTATAACTATATTGTTTTTCTATCACCTCACCAGTATAGTTATGTGAGAACGTACGTAACTTTCAACTCTTTTTCTTTACGAAAAAAATAAATAAATTAAATCTGTTTATTTCGTTCAAGTCAACTAAATGTAAGTGAATACTCAACAAACGAAATTTACATTTCGGTTGTTTCGGTCAAACTTGCACGTTACTGCATACGTTTTTTCCTATCTGCGGCCGCCGCGGCCGTTGAGATAAGCGTAATTACCTGCAAACGCTATCGCCAGCCTATGAGTATAATACTCTCACTTGTCCTTAATTTAATTTCTAATATCAATATCAATAATTGACCATGAATTCCAATAATAATCAAAATAACAAAAACAACAAAAACAACACAATCTCTCCGATTACAATTGCGAGAAATAAAAACGATGTCACACCTGATCAAGGTTGGTCCGTCAAAAACTCCACCAACAACAAAAGAAACCACTCCAGCTCTTCTGCCTCCGATCCGCCATCCCCATCAACGAACAAGCAGACAGATCAAAAAGGTAAAAAAAAAATTTTTGTAACTCCAAATCGCTATCTAGTTCTGAGTCAAAATGAAAATCACGATGTAACTCCGCCCTCAAACCCAACCACCCCAATTACCGAACAAATTGTCATTGATGATATCGCACCAAACAAACCACCGCCTCCAGTTTTTGTGAAAGGCGTCGCGGATTTTCCTGAACTTTGCAAAAAGCTTATTGAAATTATCGGAGTAGATAACTTTGTCTGTAAAGCATCTGCCGACAAATTAAAAATCCAAACTCCAAACCCTGATTCATATAGAACTCTAGTTCGTTATCTTAAAGAGGAGAAAGCGCAATTTCATACTTATCAACTCAAAGAGGATAAACCTTTGAGGATAGTCATACGGAACTTACATCCTTCCACACCAACTGAAACTATAAAAGAAGAGTTAGAACTCCTTACTTTCGAAGTCAGACAAGTAATTAACGTCCTCCATAAGGTTAACAAAAACCCTCTCCCGCTATTTTTTGTTGACTTAGAACCCACGTCCAATTCTTCCGAAATTTTTCATCTGTCTTCTCTTCTACACACTAAAATCAAAATTGAAGAACCTTTCAAACCAAAATCAATAAGTCAATGTCATAATTGTCAACAATACGGCCATACAAAAGCATATTGTGGCTATCAACCACGCTGTGTCCGCTGCGGCTTGGATCACCTCTCATCCCTGTGCCCAAACTCACGTGAATCGCCTACAAATTGTGCCCTCTGCTCTCAAAACCACCCTGCTAACTATAAAGGGTGTACTATATATAAAGACCTTCAACGTCGGAAAAAACCATCTTCAAGTAATTTTATGTATGAAAACTCTAAAACTAAATTTACCAATGTACAAGCTAGCCACCCAATTAACCACTCAATTCCTAGTCAACCCATTTCTCAAACACAGACTTACGCACACGTTACGTCCAACGCTCCGCCCGATAACACAATTCCTCCCCCTCCTGATATTAATAAGATAATGTCAAGTTTCATAGACGACTTTAAGTCTCTCATCAATCCTTTAATTTCCCTTCTCACTAAAGTAATTTCCTGCCTACTTGATAAAAATGCTAAATAACAATTATAACAACAACTCTGTCACTGACAACTCACTACTTATATTACTATTCAACGCAAATGGCCTAAGAAATCATGCTCATGAACTCGAAACAGTATTAAACAACAAACGAATTGACATTGCTCTCATCTCTGAGACACACTTCACTAATAATTCTAAAATATATATCCCAGGTTATAAATTGATTAATACTAATCATCCTGATAATACGGCACACGGAGGCGTGGCTATATATATTAAGTCATCTATTACTTACCATCCTTTGCCTGGTTTTTCCCAAGACTTCTGTCAATCTTGCTCAATTCAAATTAAATTAAACTTTACTTACTTTACTATTGCGGCAATTTACTCCCCTCCCAAACATAATATAACAACCGCTAGGTTTACAGAATTTTTTAACACAATTAAAAATAATTTCATAGTCGGAGGTGATTTTAATGCTAAACACCAATCGTGGGGCTGTCGCACAGGCAATCCTCGAGGCACTACGCTTCACAATTTTATAAACTTAAAAAAATACAAAGTACTTGCACCTCCTGCTCCTACGTACTGGCCATCTTCTCTCAAAAAAAAACCGGACATACTTGATATTTTCGTCACTAAATTACCCAATTCACTTTATAACAACACAACAAATATTCTTGATTTAAATTCTGATCACTCCTCTGTACTATTAACTTTAAATACCTCTCCCCCAATTCTACAAACATCGCCTAACCTATTCAATCGTTTCACTGATCGTCTCAAATTTCATGATAATGTAAATGAAAATATTAAATTAAATATCAAACTCAAAACACCTGACGATATTGACTTAGCAGTTAAGGATCTCACTAACATTATACAGAATGCGGCGTGGTCTGCTACAAACGCAAATCCCGCCACTCCTCATATTTCCAACCCACTTCCAGAAGTGATAAGAACGTTGATAACTGAAAAGCGTAAGGCTAGAGCTTGTTATCAACGCACTCGTTTACCCTCACATAAAAAAATTTACAACCAACTGGCAAACTCTTTGAAGAAAACTCTCGCTAAACACAAAAATATAATGCTAGTTAACAATCTTACTAATCTCTCCCCAAAAGACGGCAGTCTGTGGAAAGCCACAAAAAAAATTCTCCGATATAAAACCCCCAACCTCCCTTTAATAAAACATAACGGCAGTCTTACGTCATCGGACTCTGAAAAAGCTGAATTATTTAAAATATATCTTTCTGAGATATTCCTGCCTCATCCAGATATATTTGATCCTGATACAATAACACTGGTCAATAGGTCTCTCAATGTCCCTCCTCAATTTTCTCTCCCAATTAAACCCTTCTCTCCTAACGATTTAAAATATCAAATCCTAAAATACCCACAAAAAAATCTCCAGGCTACGATCTAATCACGGCCGAAGTAGTAAAATATCTCCCCAAAAGAGCCATTGTTCATATTACTCATATTTTCAACTCAATAATCAGATTATCTTATTTTCCTCTACTATGGAAGTTCTCGACAATTATCATGATCCATAAGCCAAATAAGCCAGCTGATACAACTTCTTCCTACAGACCAATAAGTCTTCTTCCCTTCCTTGCGAACATTTTAGAAAAACTTATACTTAAACGTATCCTACCAATAATTTCTGACAAAAAAGTTCTACCGGACTACCAGTTTGGTTTTCGTTCTTCGCATTCGACGACCCATCAACTGCATAGGGTAGTAGATGCAATATCTTTCTCTCTGGAAAAAAAATTATTTTGTACAGCAGCTTTCTTAGACATATCACAAGCTTTTGATAGAGTCTGGCACGATGGTCTCCTGCATAAAATAAAAACATTTCTTCCTTCACCCTTCTATCATCTAATCAAATCA